CGGTGACCCTTCCTCAGAACTGTTCTCAGGAAGGGTCTGGAGGGTTCTGAGGAAGGGTCACCGGACCCGAAACGTTAACTCTGTTTTCTCCTTCGCAGATGTGCCAGACCTGCTGAGCTTTTCCAGCAACTTTGTTTTTGTTCCTGCTCCCCAGGTATTTATCCTGCTGCTGCTGTTCACTGCCAGGTTGCTTTCCTTCGCTCTGTTGCTGCTGTTGCTACTCAGACAGACCCTGGTCCGGGTCCCGCTCCTTGGGTATTTACTCCGCTGCTGTTCACCCCCAAGTTCACTCTCCTTCACTCTGTTGCTGCTGCTGTCTCTGCTCAGACTGATCAAATCATACATCCATGGGAATAATGATAAACAAGACTAAAGGCCAAATAGCAAATCACCTAAGGAAGGAGGAAACAGATCATTTTCCTTTTACTTTTGTCCAACAAGCTAAATAGTTCAACTATTAGAAATTTTGATCCTCTGTGGTACATCGTTCCTGAAATTTAAAAAAAGTATCCTTTCTATCACCTTGAATAAACACAAGAGATCTAATGGTATTGTTTAACAATTTGCACGTATAGCATGTTTGATGTGATAAAATCCCCAAACTAAAATTGCTCTTTTGTTATACAGTATAAAAACTTGGAAATTTTGTACTAATCAAAGCTTAAAAGTGTTACCTGAAAGATATATTGAAATGGGAAAGGGCAAAGCCATGGAAATATTGAAAGACGAGGATGAAAATTTTACATTTGAGGAATTGGACAGGTACAAATCGCTGAAAAGGCAGTGATAAGTGAGCACAGTTTGATGCAGGATGGGATACATACAATGGAGCTTTAGATGAAATGTAGGAGACGAGGTTACATACACATAAATTAGGAGTAAGACACTCAGCCACTCGAGCCTAATCCCCATCCAATAAAATCTCATTATTCCACATAATTAACACTGATATTCTTTCACCTGTGCTGTTCAGAGGATCGGTGCGAACGTACTAGGCCAAATATCCTCTTTCTGCACTGTACAGATTCTATGATCTTTCTATGATCCACCCTGTTAAGAGCCCTCAGGATCTTATGCTTTAAGAAAATCGCTTCTTACTCTTCTAAATTCCAGCAAGTATAACCTAGCCCTCAAAAGACAAGCCAGGTATTGCTCTAATAAACCATCTCTGAACTACCTTCAATGCATTTACATCCGTCCTTAAATGAAGAAGCCAATATGGTACATAGTACTCCAGAACTAATACTGTTTATAAATGAAGCATAATCTCCCTACTTTTGTACTAATTTCCCTCACTGTAAACATTAGCATTCAATTAGCTTTCCTAATTACTTGCTGTACCAACCTACCTATTCGTGACTGGATGTGCCAGAATTGAAGGGTTAGATCCATTACTCATGAACTTACCCTTACTTAGAATCACAGAATCATACAATCCCTACAGTTTGGAAGCACGCCATTCTGCCCATCGACTCCACACCGACCCTCCATACAGCATCCCAACCAAACTGACCCCCCCCCCCACCCTATATCTGTAACCCTACATTTCCCGTGGCTAATCCATCTAGCCTGCATATCTCTGGACACGATGGGTAATTTAGCATGGCCAATCCACCTAACCTGCACATCTTTGGTCTGTGGGAGGAAACCGGAGTGCCCAGAGGAAACCCATGTTGACACGAGATGAATGTGATCATCTCTTACTGCCAATGCATGTTGTGATTCATGAACTAGAACCAGTACATCTCAGAACTTTGGATTCGCTCAAATTCAGATAATATGCTTTTTATTCTTCCTACCAAAATGGACAATTTCACATTTTTCCACATTACACGCCATTTGTCAGATCTTTGTCCCACACAGTTATCATATCTATATCCCTTTGTAGGTTCCTTATGTCCTCTTCAAAGCTTACTTTCCTACCTATCTTTGTCTCATCATAAAATATAAAAACCAACCTTCAGTACTTTCATGAAAGTCATTTTATATAAAGTATAAAAAAAATTGAGATACCAGCATTAATCATGGTGACACACCATTCATTCATTACATGTTGCCAACTGGAAAAATAACCTATTTCTGTCTACTATCTAGTTTCCTGTTAGGCAACCAATCTTCTGTCCTTGCCAATATGTTAGCCTCAAGATCATGAGCTTTTATTTTCCGCAATACCTTTTGATATGGCACCATATCAGATGCCTTCCGGATATACAAGTACAACCAAAGGTTCCCCGTTACTCACAGTTTATGCTACATCCTCAAAGAACTCCAAAAAATTGGTTACACATGATTTTCATTTCACAAAACCATGCATACGCTACCCGATTACCTTAAAGTGCTCTACTATAACACCTTTAATTAAGATTCTAACATTTTCCCTGTGATAGATGTTCAGCCAGCTGGCCTGTAGATTCCTGTTTACCATCGCCTTCCCTTTTTGAAGAAAGGAGTTATATTCCAATGGACCTTTCCCAAATTTAAGGCATTTTGGAAAATTAGAACCAATGCATCAATTATCTCACTAGAGATATCTTTTAAACTCCTAGGATGAAGTCCATCAGACCCTGGAGACAAAATAGCCCATAGCTCCAACAGTTTGTTCAGTACACTGCCCAAATGATTGTAATTTTCTTGAGTTCTTCCCTCCCTTCAATTTCTTAACTTATAGATTATCTCAGACATTATATTTCAGAATAAAGTATACATTAAAAATTTTGTACATTTCAGTCTGAACAAGTTAGTAATAATCCACATCAAAAATTCCACTTACCAAGCAAGTTCTCACTGGAAGTATATTTTATTATTGACTACAATAACAAGATTTTCAATATACATATTTAAATGTTTCAACTACAGCCTATAAGGCTTAAACATATTACAGAATCACCTTGCTGCATATGCAAGGGTGGAATTTAATGTGCGTGTTTCTTTTAATGAGCTAATTTTTGATTTGTGGTTTACCATGTCAAATAAAATATAGCAGCAAACACCTCTGAACAAAACTTTCTGTTGTAGAAAAGACTGTGTTCCCTCCAATCAATATGATTAACTCATTCATTACTTCACAAGTTTGAATTCATTGCTTTATGGAAATGGAGTGACTTGGTTATGCATTTATGAATAATAGATTCACTTGTGTTGAGATGCGTGTTGCAGTGGAGGAATGCGCAAAGGTTAGAGGATTGACCATTCCAATGTAGTAACTAATGAATTAGCAACTGGTCCAAAAATGCATTCCCATAAAACATCCAGTGCTTTTCAAATGAGAGCATAGACATACTTAATGGTGCAACAAACTGAAAAGTACAAAGTTCTTTGTTGAAAGCTAGGTTACAAAAATTATCAGACCAATTGAAATTAAGTGCTCAGTCACTCAATATGTTGCAGGATCTACCAACACATCAGTGCTCAATGCGATTTAAACAGCCAGTTAACATACATTCAAACATTAAATAACTGATAGGTGATATTAAAAAATAAACTGGATTACATCCAAACCCTGCCTCTTCCTGAATATTTGGAGATGTAACATTTAACAAAATATCTATGAACGCCATGCTAACAAGTCAACATTACATTTTGTGTAGTATTGTAACATGAGTAATATAGCCTCCTCAAAAAGAGAAAGGAAGAGCAAAAAACCATTTTAAGAGTATACCGCAATTGCGAATATGAAACGAAATTATTTCTTCAACGCATGTCTCAAATTGGCAGCTGGAAATTGACATTCACCTGAGCTTCCTTTGCCAGTGACACAATTTCTGAAAGTTTTACAACCTGGAAACAAAGAAAAACATAATATGAGCACCCAGTGAGTAAACTAAAAGTACAGTGGCAAAATTAACTTGAATCTAAAAGAATAAATCTCACATGGAAATCGTTGAGAGTTTGCCTCCAACAGGTAGTTTTACCTGATACGGAAATACCATAACAATAAGCTAGGCATGGATATCATGTTATTGAAAAATCCAAAAGACATTGATTACAACTAACTTTTGTACAAATATTAGATTTCTTAGGTACATGAGTGTCTAGGTTAGTACTAAGCTACTGGGTTTACAGTAGTGTTATGTTTCAAGGAATTTGAGGCAAGATAGTATGGAACCTTTAAACCCTCAGAGAAAATGCTATGATACAGTGATGCTGTCATTCATATGCTTGTCAAAACCATAGTGATATCCTGATCAAGAGACATAATGTAACAGAAATTGGTATGCAAAGAACCCAAAAGTGTATGTCACAAGTTGATTAATACACATATTAGAAGCTATTTAATGCATAACAAATACAATACAGACATTAACATGATGTGATGTTGCCACTCATTAGTCCATTATCTTTTGATTGGTTTGAAATAAAAACTCTCAGCGTAAGGAACGCAATCAAAATTCAATTTTGGAAAAAGATTTATGTCTCCAAAATGGAGGATGAGAACCAGTTGTTTAACATTTGCAATTTCAACAACAAAATTGGGTAGAAAGAAAAGTTGAGCTACATTTTAGAAAGAAGAATTACAGAATGACGAAAATGGGAAAAAATGGCATTGGTAGTGGGTGGGAAAGTGCCATGGCAAGTATGATGAAAATGTACTAATTTAAGAAAACAATACTTTGGTGTTTAAAGATAGGTAATACTACAGTAAAAGCTGCTCCCCATATTTGAGAATTTTGATTATTGTAATATTCATTTGATCTCAATGAGACAGAATGCATACTGGAAATTTATATTAGCCAGTTCATGAAGTGGTTATGACCCTACATAACAGTTGGATTATGTTTGTAAAGAAAATCTAATAGGAAGTACATTTCCCAAAATTGATACATTTCACTAATTTTTGAGCTTGGTATGCAAGCTTTCCAAGCAACCTCTTCCTTACCATTTTTGCAGCTTCGTCCAAGTCATCACAACCGAGGATCTTGAGACTACTGGCAGCAATCAGTGCTTTAGCATCATCAACTTTAGAACCTGTGGGTAAAAAATAACAGACACAGAATTCAGCAAACTCATCTGAGCTTCCCCCAACACTTGCTTTTATATAGTGCTTGCATTGGACACCCAAAGTACTTTTGGAGTATAATCACTGTTGTAATGAAGAGAACACAGCAGCCAATTTGTACACCAGAAGCTGCTAAGGACCAGATAATCTGATTTTAATCATGTTTGCTAATGAGTAAATAATGATCAGGGTACCTCATGGAGTTTGCATGCTCTTCCTTGAAATGCTGCCATGTGATTTTTTAAAAAAAAAACATCCATAGGAGTGCAGCACGGCATTGGTTTGATATCTTATGTGAAGCACTCACTGCATTAAAGCATCATCCTAGATTTTGTCACACACGATTTTGACACACACAAATAGATTTTGTGCTCACAACCATCCAGAGTGGGAAAAAGCCACAACTTGCTGACACAAGAAGTAACATCTAAAGGGAGTGGCTGAACTCATCAGTAGGAAGAAATTGATCCAGTTACAAGTACAGTAGCACTGCGGGAAGATGGGGTGATTCAGAGCTCTAAATGCCAGCTGTAAATCCCATATATGGACATGAATGGCTTGATTTTCATGCCTGCAAACTTTTAAAAATGGTAGGTGGGACCTGGTTATGGAAGTCATACCGTTTTTGACAGTAGGGGTAATAGTAGGGGGTCTAATTCACACAGTAGGGAAACTAGAACTCAGTAAGACCACTAAGTAAAACACACTATTTTGGATAGAGCATGGCAGTAGATCTAAATGCTTTCAAAGGGTGGATAAAAATTTTTAACTGTCCACAATCTTAGGTTTTTAAAAGTCCCTAGCTACACCCTAAGTTATAAAAATGCCATCTGGTACACTGCTATGACTGACATGTCAGGTGATGTAGCATCTGATTGAGCAATTTCAATAGTTATTTACTAAATAAAAGCCAGAAGAACTGCAGATGCAGGAACAAAAACAGAAGTTGCTGGAAAAGCTCAACAGGTCTGGCAGCATCTGTGAAGAAAAATCAGAATTAACGTTTCAGGTCTGGTGACCATTGCTCAGAACTGATGGTAGCTGGGAAAATGTTGGTTTAAATGCAGAAGATAGGGTAGGGGGAGACGGTAAGGAGTAAATGATAGGTGGGGATTGAGCCCAAAGAGAGACGAAAGCAGTTGGACAGGCAAAGGACTTGATAATGTTCTGGGTACGAGGGTGAACAGCTGTTAATGGGGACTGTTAGTGACTAACAATAGGTAGTGTGTAATGGCAGGCTACATGATAACAAGGCCTGGGGTGTGGGGTAGGGGGCTACGACATGGAAGAGTTTAGACCCTAAAATTATTGATCTCAATATTGAGTCCGGAGGGCTGCAGGGTCTCCAAGAGGAAAATGAGGTGTTGTTCTTCCAGCTTGTGTTGAGCTTCGTTGGAACACTGCAGCAAGCCAGAGACAGAGATGACGACCAGGGAACAGGGTGGTGTGTTAAAGTGGCAGGCAACTGTAAGCTCAGGGTCTCTTTTGTGAGCAGAATGTAGATGTTCTGCGAAGCAGTTACCCAGTCTACACTTCGTTTCCCCAATGTAGAGCATTGATTGCATAGTGAGCAGCGAATGCAGTAGACTAGATTCTGGGAAGTGAAGATAAATTGTTGCTTCACTTGGGAGGTATGTTTTGGCCCGTGGATATTGGGGAGTGAGGAAGTAAATGGGCAGGTGTTACACCTTTGGTGGTTGCAGGGTAACGTGCTGTGGTGGTGGTG